GATTGAACCGGCCGCTCCAGTTTTAGGAACTCTGTTTCATGCAAGATTTGGCTTAATCAGACACCAAAATATACCAAACACAAAAATGCTTTAAACTCAAATAATGTACACTAAAAATGATGAGACAACATTCGCATACAACACAATGTTCACATACAATATAGATACAACAATCTTTGTGTTCCCAACTCACAAAGCCACTTATTGTCTTTGAAGATATAAGACCCTTTTATTCACAGTAAAAGAGAGTGATCTTTTACAAATCTTGATATGAAACAAGAAGATAAACGCAGACAACTTCTTCACGCCGCAGCGGGAGGATCATCGAATACAAACTTCTCAAACTCTTCCCTACTTCTCCCATCCGGATTCTTCTTCCACTCCATGAACTTCGTCGACGCCTCTATGAATTTCTCCATATGAAGCCTCTTCCATTCCTACCAAAATCCACACACACATTTCACCAAGAAAAACCCAAAAACACAACATTTTCATGAAAAATCAAGAAGTAAAGTTTCAAACCTCGAAATCCCATTCTCCATACATATTAGGATCATCCTTGTTTGCCCATACAATTGTTTCAACTTGCTTCTTCTCCAAAGTATCCTGATTAATCAAAGCCTCAATCTTTTAAGTAAACCATCAACGAACGATTACGAGGAGGACTAAGTAGGAACTTACAGTCAAAACAACTTCAACAGTCTTCCTCACATATTCAGTTCCTTCAATCATATCTAAACTCTCTAACTGAGAATCTGTTAATCCAGTTAGTATCTACAACAAAAGTTTCAGATTCTCAGATCCAAAATCAAAATCAAAGAAGACTAAAACACATTTTTGAATTCAAGAGACCTTGCCGTTGATGAGTCCATTCTCAGAAGGAGAGATACATGGATGCAAACGACCTTTAAGTCTATACAAGTGACTGTAAAAAGAAAACACAGAAATCGAATTATTGAATCAATCTAAGGAAGATAAAGATCGGAGAAGTAAAGAGAGATAGAGAGAGAGAGAGAGACGTACTAGCCGTGGAGTTGAGCGGAAACCATGACCGGAACACATTCGAGGATCAGTTTGACGACGGCTGGTTCTTGGAAACTGCCGTAGACGAAGACGTTGTGCGATGGAGATTGATCGGAGCTAGTCATTGTTTTTTTTTTTTTTTTTTTTTTCACTGTGAAATTGAGTTTTGTCTAAAAATGTGAGAGGTAGATTGGTGACTTTTTGTCTGAAAATAAAAAGTGATGTATTTATTCTCTTGTATAGCCAACGTTGTTGACTTTTTAGCTTTTTTTTTTTTTTTTTTTTTTTTCTTTTTTTTAATTCATTTATTGATTAGAAAACTTGTACAAGAGTTGATACATTAAGAGTACATTATTGCTAAGCAAATCAAAATACACATTCACAATTATATAACCGATCATTAAAAAAAAATGATGGGGAAGTGAATTTCCACAATGTTTTCGATACCGAAGCTTTATATTTCCGTGATTATTTATTTTTTGTCGTGAATAAAGATATTAACTGTGGTGTGTGTGTGATTAAGGACTAATATAATTTTAAAGGGTGGCCTGTAATAATTTCTTTCAATATATGTGGTGCATATCTCAACAATTTTGTTACAAAAATAAAATTTTACAATAATACTGTTAATTGGGTAAGTTAACTAAATTTTTTTTATGTATATGGATACGGCTACGGTCGCTAACGTTTTAACAATAATTAGGAAAACTGTTCCACATCAAAAGTTTTTTTTTTTAATTAGTGTTTACAATTGTAAGTGGCTTTTAAAATTTTAAATAATAATAAATATTTAGGTGATTTGTAAAAAGAGATAATTAGCTACATACTATTTTTTTTGAAAGAATTACGAAAAAGTAAAAAACTTTTGTGTATTTGCAGGTGAAGAGAGAAATTGAGCTAGTAACAAATTGTGGACGAAAATACATTATAAATTTAAAGCGAGAATTTTTCCTTCGAGAATTTCGTAGAGGACATATGCGTCAATGTATCTAAGTTGTGGACCACCACATATTAAATGTGCGTAATGCAGAAATCGATGGTTTGTGTTGCTACAAAATTTCGTGTCGTGGTATCTTGCTTTTTATATGATATCGGAGAGCAATCCATCGAGGTTCGTGTTTTGCTCTGCTCCGAGCATTTAATGAAAACGTAATCATGACTAACAGCTACAAAATATATTATCCTCATATCCTCCATCCTCTCTTCTTCTACGAAATTGCTTGTCATGATATCTAATTTCTTATCACGTTAACTTAGACACACTGTAGCACGAAAGCGCCACGAGCGGGACATGCATGCATCCATCGAGCTCTGCGCGTTGCTCTCCCCAAAGGCTACAATGTCGAATAGTGCAAAGCAATTAATGATATATAATGATGACATCTTGCTACACGAGGGTTTATCTCGTATCTTACGAGATACACAACTTGGGCATTGACCTTATACGTATAGAAGTTAACCCATTTTCATTACTATATCACACCAAACCAGAAAAAAACCCAGTTCTCTTCTTCATTTACTCTTCTGTTTGGTAAGATAAATTAAACTATCAACTGCAACACTTTTATGTCTGATTACTTATTTATTGCTATGCATAACGGTTGAAATTTAAATAAGTGTTTTAGAAATATTGCAGGTAAGATAGTTGTAATACGAGAGTTGGAACAGAGGATGGTCGCCATAGAGTTTGGCCACTAGGAACGTGATGGGATTGAGAGATGGAGGTTCAAGTCAGATCCGAATGAGAAACAACGAAACATGAGGCTCTAAGAGGGAGATGTGATAAAGACGATCACTGCTCAGATAAAAGAAGAATACAACATCACCAAAGTCGAAACATGCCTGAAGCTGACTTTCCGTTGGCCATCGTGGATGCTTCTCATAGATGACGGGACCACTAAACCTCAAACAATCAAGACGGACAACGACATTGATATCTTCTTGTCCATGAATGTCGATGTTGCTAACCTCACTCTTTGTGTCACAAAAAAGAACACGACTGGTGTTGCAAGGGAATCACAAACGTTATCCGAGAGTGCGAGTTTGTCGTCCCAACCTCAAGAGGCAACAATGATACACAAAGTTTACATCATTGTTGACCTTACATCTTCAGACTAGGATGTTGACTTTGAAGAGATTGTCAGACGCAACCCGTGGAACCAAAGAGTTGATGGTTTGATGAATGAATAAATCTCTAACCTAGAGGTGGGTTATAGCTCAACAAAGCTGTTGTTGTCTGCCGATGAAAACACGTTTTTTGGCATGGAATTATCCATGGGAGTATTTGGTAGGGACGAAACTCCGGTTTTAGACAACCACATAGGTGTAGGTAATCTCTATTTACGATATCCAGTACCATTGACAATTATATCCTGACATAGTTTAGTATATCTGGGTATATATGTTTTCTAAATGTCTACATCAGTTTGTACATGCTATGTCGATATATGTCATGTCCTGTCATGTTATATCTGGGTATGAATATCTGTGTTTTTTGTTTTGAACAAGCTAATGACCACAAACATCTGCCTTACTAGGCAACATGGTGGTCGACAAAGCTACAGACAATACAAGGTATGAGAGAGATAACATATTCGTGGGTCGGGTTTAAGAAAATAAGGAGGAATTCAAGTTCAAAATGGTCATCCATGCACATCAAAGAAATTTCCATTTCCGTCACACCTGCTATGACAGGAAGGTGGTCATTCTTAATTGTGTCACCGAAAGTTGTTCCTAGCGGGTGTATGTGTTCATACTTGAAGACTCCAACGACTATCAAGTCTGTCGTGCTTGTGTGGAACACACTTGCAGTGTTGAAGACCACTATATCTACCACAAACAAGCTATAGGTAAATTGATCGGTGAGATCATGAAGCCGAGTTACAGTGAAACTGTGAGCGGACCAAGACCTAGTGTGGTATAATGGATGTGTTTAAATGATCGCAACATCCCAATATCATATTGGAAAGCTTGGAGTGCTAGGGGGATATCTATGGAAAGAGCCAGAGGTTCAGCAGGCGGTAGCTACTCTCTACTTCCTGCTTACTTGCACGCATTTAAGGTTGCGAACCCTGGGTCATTGACTGGATTGGAAACAACACTCAACGAATCTGGAAACCACATGTTTAAGTTCACCTCTTCTTCGCTTTAGATGCATCAATAAATGGCCTCAATTTCATGCGCAAGGTGATAATCATAAACAGTGCGCATCTAAGAGGAAATTACAGTGGATGCATTGTCTTTACAAGCTCACATGATGGAAACATTCAAATTTTTTCCGTGGCTTTTGGAATCGTCGAGAGTGAGAATGATCGGGGTTGGGAGTGGTTTCTCACCAAGTTGAGGCAAATATTATCCAATGGACTAGCTGTTAGATTCGTCTCAGACATGCATTCATCCATCTACTCGGTTCTCTGCAAGGTTGGCGATACTTTACAATTTATCCCGCTATGTCTCTATAGCCAAATATTTACTGTTATGTCATGCTAACGCGGTTCTTTTCCTATTTCCATTCCCTAGATTTTCCCGAATGCAACACAAACATCATGCGGAGTCCACTTGCAACGTAATGACGAAAACAGCTAATAAGCGACTACATAAGCAGCCATGCACTAAACAGTCGCAAAAACCCTAAAATTAGTAGTCGTATAACAGTCGCTAATTAACGACTAATGTGCGATTGATTTAAGTGGTCGCTATTTTGTCGCAATTTTGTCTCTAAATATAGCGATTGTTATGTGACATCGTTGCCACTACATGTCGACTGTTTTTTTTTTATTGTTTTGGTGACTGAATTGCTATTACTTTGTAACTAATAAAAGGTTTAATTCTCGATTTAGCTTGCTATTTTTGGAAAAATTTAATTCTCGATTTAACCCTTGATAAATTGATTGTAATTTCTAATTTATTATCAAACATACTTGTATTTTAAACATAAGAACTTGTATTCAAAACACAAACAACACAACACATTCTTGTTCAACTGAAAACCAAACAACACATTCATGTTCAAAACCAAACAACAAATATTCTTTTTCAAACCAACACAAGTTTTCAAGTTCAGAGAAGGAGGGAAAGTTAAGGGACCTATGTTTTAACACAAGTAGTAGCGGGATCAATTGGTTGAGACTCGAAAAAGGTGAGAAAGTTTGGGTTAGTTACGCTCAAGTACTTCTTCATGATCGTCAAGTGCTTGATATCTGCTTCCTGCTTAGCTGCAACCCACAAAGTCCCTGCTTCACGCGCTGCTTGTTCCTCTATTTTGCGGTTAGCTTCCTCAAGATGTGTTTGCAGGCTTGTGAATGAAGAAGAGTTTCTTGGGTACTTCTACTTTCCGTTGATGTAACTCCATAGGCTTCCAACTCCAAAGTATTCTCTTTTGTCATTTGTGACAGTAGACTGCATAAACAAAACAAAAAGTATTATTACTTAACAGTTTTTCAAAACGATAATATCAGAAAAAACAAAAATAAAGAAGCACATTACCCGACGAAAAATCTCGTAATCCTCCTCTTGAGATATCTCTGATCGAGACGAAGTACCATCGAACGACTCATAATTCTCGAGGGCAGCCAACTTAGTTGCTTTGTTTTTCTTATATGCCTCATGAACTTCTTGCGCTTTCCTATCGACAAAAGTCCCATTATTTTTGGTAGGAGTCCTGATGAAAACTTCACCTATAGTAGGTGGTTTTCCCCATTCAACTTCCTGAAATATTAAATAATGAAAAGGTGAATGATTTAGGAAATATTTTGTCTGACTTGTATAACTTACCATCTCTTGATGTAACTACCATCTCTAGTTCGACTTGTATGTAAGACATCGACTTCGACACGTGCTTATGAGGACCAACACCATTACTGTCAAACATTCGAGCTGCTGATGTGGTTGCACTCTTTGTTTGGGCTTCTTTTGTGTCCCAATAGTCACACATTTCTTTCCGAAGTTTATTGCCAATTCCGATTGGGTTGCTCTCGTCAACTCGTAGCCTTGGAAACCATGTCTTTCATACGGAGTTGACAAACCAAATAGACTTTTGCTTCAACCACACCGGTCAGTGAGGGATGCCAGGTGTGTTGTTTCTACAAAACAAGAGGAGAGATTAATGTTAGTGATCAAACAACCAAAACAAAAGTATAAATACAAAGCTTAGAACAGATTGAGAGAAGATAGAAGTTTACCACAAATTCGAGGAAGTATATTTCTGTTCTTGCAGAGGCACATAACTCCAACTTTAATATGGCACATCAAACTTGTTTGTAAAAACCTTTGCAATCTTCCGGGTAAGCTTTGACTTGTCCTTACCAAATCTACAAACACATAATCAAAAAACAATGCAGGTAATTAGAAACATACAATAAAAGAACAATGGAGGTCATCTCTGTAACGACTAGTAGCCAAATGGAGAATCAGACAATAAAAGAGCATTTTCAAAGATTGAAAAAATCACAATTATGGTCAAAGGTTTAATCAAACTATAAAGGTTCTTGAGACATAGATTTCAATCCTACATAGATTCAAACAGAAGACAAATCTTATTTACGGATGACAAAGGTTCAATCAAACTACATTTTAACTCAAGACAGAGATTCCTACGCAATCTATCTTCGTAGCATCTACACAAAGAGACGTTCCTACAAAGAGATTCCTACACAATCTATCTTTCTAGTTCCAGCATCTACATAATCTATAAGATGGTAAGAGGAGATGCTTACTAAGTGGTTCTAGGGTCTAATATGCGAGAGCTAACGGTGGTATGTTGCTCACAGCCTGGCTGGACAAGCAATTCCTGTAAAGCAGCGAGCACATCTCTGGGAGATTGGAATCCCTTAGCACATCTTCCTTAGAATCAGCTTTCTCATCTTCTTTCTTGTGTGAGTTTTGCGCTTGAGAACTGTGATGTGATACAGAAGCTCGAGGTGGAGGAGATGGTTGAGGTTGATTCGAGGCTAGAGGTTGATATGATGATGGAGTTTGATTCGATCCAGAGGCGCGACGATGAGTCGATCTAGAGCCTTGAGGTGAGCAGATGGAGAACTGATTAGATCTTCTCCCACAGGAGAGCTCCTCGCCGACTAGAAAAGATTCTTTGGAGATGGATTGTCTCTGTAAGTAGGGCCCGTTGGAGGCTGGCCGATTGAGACAGGATTTCGCTAAGACTTTGGATCTGGGTTTGAGGGTTCGACAGAGGAAGGTATACTTGGTTGGAAGACCTGTGGGTCGATTTGAGGCGATTTCGTAGCCCTTCCTCCTCCTCCTATATTCTTTCTTCCACAAGGAGCCATCGATATGAAGATTGAGATCGATTAGGGTTCGATTCGATGAAGATTGAGAGAAATGAAATAGATAGAGGAATCGAGAGGATTAGGGTTATCGAGATCGAGAGAGAGAGAGAGAGAGATTAGGGTTTGTCGCGAGAGAGAGATTAGGGTTTGTCGCGAGAGAGAGATTAGAGTTTGTCGCGAGAGAGAGATTAGGTTTTATAGTTAGGGCTATTAGTTTAGATAAATGAGTTGACTCTACAAAAGCCCAATTAAATGGCCCAAATGAAATAAAATAGTCGTTGAAGAGTAGATAACTAGTCGCAATATTTGGCGTCTACATGTTTAGTCACTATATGTAGTTGCCGATTCGCAACTATGCTTCGACTATTTATATCAGGCTCAAACTTCCGACGGATAAGCGACTATATTGTTTTAGTCACCATTATAGTCGCTAAAAATTGCAATCCAGTCGCAATATTTAGCGACTGCTTAATGAGTCGCAGCATGTAGTCGCTAATTCGTTGTTTTCTCATAGTAATTGAATAGCATGTGTTCAATCCGGTTTTCGTTTTGGTTTCTGTTTTAGTTATTTGGGTTACCGAATTTTTGGTTTGTGAATACAAGTAATCAAGCTGAAAACATAAAATATAATGGATTATTGAATTCTTTATGTTATAATTTAAAATTATTTTTATATGAATGTGATTCATTTAGGATGGAATTTGTCTCTCGACCAATGTCCGTCTAGAATTTTATGTTGTATTAATGTTCTCGTTTTAAACATTACTTTTCTTAAAATATTTCATGGGTAATATGTAGGTCAGGATATTTGAATGATCTGTTAGATATATTGTGTTTTTAACATATCATAGAAAACATATCTATCAAAATTTGTATTATTTTAAAGAAAATGCTTATTTCATTTCGTTAAATGTCGTATATGCAAATAATGAATATCTTATTTTTTTCAAATTATTAAACTTATATATATATATATATATATAATGTGTATATATGGTATAGATTGAAATGTTTTTAGTTTATTTTCATTCTTTCATATGTGAATTAATCATAATCAATTAATGAAATTTCAAAACCATATTTTACAATATCAATATCTTAATAACGCCGAGTTTCTAACTTTTATGTCTCATACCATTTCTTACAATCGTTTCATACTTAAATCCCTTCCAAATTATTGATATTGTTATGTTATATATTTATGATTTAGTTTATGTATACATTTTTTTCTATGTTATTTAGAGTTTTTACATTTCAAAATTATCACCTTATCTAAATGAGCAATATAAATGTATACCAAATAGAATATTGTTCTTGTTCTTAACAAAAAAAAAAAAGAATATTGTTCTTGTTTTGTACAGAAAAGAAAATGGCATATCAATTAGATCAACACCATTAGTTCCATAATTCTCTCTGTGCAAAATCCTCATTGGATCGAATAAGTGGGATTTATCACATCAAGTTTAGAAGTTTGTTGTGTATAACACTTTGTGTCTCGGCGAAGTGAGTTTATTCTTTACATGTCTATCAAAAATTTACAACAATAAATATATACATGTATGTCTCTTTTTCTTTGATTTCTTGATTTGGGTGGTTTTATCATCGCAGCCCAGAACGTACTTCCAGATTTCAGTTGTTTATGAAATTCTCGCTTCAGTGTTGTTTAACCTATTTGAGAGCGTAGATGATACTATCTAGGATGTGGCTGCTCAATTTTTGGGAAAAATGGTTATTCAACTTCAGGTATATAGCTGCAAAACAATCTCTATCTTCATTTTACACTTTGGCAATGAAATAATATTTGTACTGACTTTTATAGGTACGGACGACAACTCCAGTCCCTTTGACTCGTGTGAATGCTGTTACTATTCTGAAATATTCAGTGGTAAAACAGCCCAAGAAGATTGATCGTATCATTGTCCCAAAGATATCTTTGTTCCTCATGCTAATGGATGACGATAAAAATTTGTTGCGACAAATCGTTAGGAACTTCAAAATTTTATTTTTTAAAAATCATTTCATATCATATAAGATTAATATGTAATATATGTTGACATATGTAACTGAAAAATAGTAAGTAACGGAATTACAATTTTTGTAAAAGATAATAAATGTGTTTAAAAAGTGAGTCCCCAATTTTTTTTAAAAAAACATATTTGGAATATGAAACAAAAAATAAAAGAGTACATGTGTCTTAAAATAAATTACCAAATATAGCGTTATCTTAGACCAGATTGATAATCAACAGGAAAACAAATATTTTATCTTTCATTCACTCAAAGAGATGTTTTTATCAAGGGACAATTTGTGCAGAGACAAAAATGAGATAAGATATTAGGTAATCAACATTACGGGGTTGTGGTCTTCAACATAGATAAATAAAGTTAACAAATAGTTTGAAGTTTGGAATATTTACGAGAAAACTACCTTCTCTTTTAACATGCGAGTGGGATCAACGTTTTTGACTTTTTGAGAAAACAAAAAAGCAACTGACAGTTAATAAATGTTCATTAGTTGAAATAACCTAATAAATAAGTTATTTGATTTATTGCAAAAACATAGAGCTACTAAAAAGAAAACGAAAACATATATAGAGTGTTATTAGTATTTATATACATGTAAACTTGTATATAGAACTTTATTAGCATTTATATACATATAACCACGTATATAAAGAGTTATTAATATTTTTTATTTTTAAATATTTAAATATAGATCTACAAAAAAATTTGGACATCCACGCAAAAAAATTTGGGCATCCACACATAGATCTATAACGCAAAAATACATATCTAACTGAATCCTTGGAGAGATATAAGGGAATTTAGATAAATAAAAAATATTCGGATTTTCTGGCGCTACAGAGTGAATAGTATATACGGCGAATTCTCCGACGCATCGGAGTAAATAGTATACACGACACAATGAAGTGAATAATATACACGACGAACCAATTAAATCAGAATAGAGAAAAATTGTACAATGGTGTTAGAAAGAGATGATGGGACTTGGGAAATTGATAAACATGTGAAACAAATTAACATCCAAAAGTCAAGAGAGAATTTGACGTGTTTGTCTCATTTATTACTGATATATCACGTATTTTACCGATTTTAGTCATGATATATGTATTGTTTTTAGAGTCTTTTTGTTGTTTCTAGTGTCTTTTTGAGTATTTTCAGGTTTATACACGTTCGAGACCAATTTGGAGATTTTGGATCATTCTGGAGCAAAACCGAAAAGTTATGATGCGCGAGCAATCCGGAGACGAAAATACGTGTCGACCGACACCAAGATCTGACGGCAATTCAAATTCGCCCCAGAACTTCTCCCTATTTTAAGGTCATTGTTTAGACCTAAGCTTAGAGAGGCTATTCTCCTTATCTATTCTGCTCTTGGGAGCAAAACCCTGTGGAGGCTCCCTTTAGAGAAGATCTTTCTAAACCCTATTTTCTTGTTATATTCATTATTGATTTCTACTTCAATCATGTTGTTTAATTTGCTTCAATCATCATGTCTGAGTAGTTTGCTTGTTAGCTTTAGGGATTCTCATTAGGGATTTAGATGAATTAGTAGATCGATAACCTGTTAGGATTAATCAATAGAGTTCTTCACCTTAGATTGTTCTTAATGCTAATTCTAGCTTGATCACCTAGAATTTGATCGGATAATAGGTAGATTCGAGAGGTCGTCTATTTTCTGAAATAATCTTAGGTGAGCAAAATGACTATTCGCATCGAGAGGTGGTTTAGTACTTTTGTGAACATATCAACCTTGTGTTTAATGCTAGTCCAGATCTAGGAATTCGCATCGAGAGGTGGAATTACTAATATTAGATTAGTTAGTTAGCGCATCGAGAGGTGGTTAGCTATTCATTAGTGTTTTGAGTTCTAGAACGGTTCGTTAAATAATCCTAATCAATTTGCTAGATTTACTATTAGTTTATTTCTTGAGAAATCCCTAAGCCTGACGTTTTCCTAATCTGAATTTACAACTGAATTTAATTGCTTTCTTGTCTTTTAATTTACTTGATTTCTCGTTTAGCTTAATTCGAACCCTGTTAGTCTATTGTGTGAACACGAAAACTTTGTGGAATTCGACCCTAAAATGCTACACACGATCTCTTATTTGAGAGAGTAATCTTAGGTCTTAATTTGACTCATATCAATTACAATGGAACTGATTCGAAACAGAGAAACGCGTGGGGTTAGTTTAAGCAAAAAAGTGGGCTAAATATTACATTGTTTTAGATTCTGTATTGAATTACCAAAAAACTAATTTTGCCACGATCTATAGTCTCCCACCCAATTATCTCTTTTCTCAATAAGTATTAAAATTATATCATCAGATTACATAAACTCATGCACCAAACACCAAAAATGCTTTTAACTGAAATACACTAAAAATGATGAAACAACATTCGCATACAACACAATGTTCACAAACAATATAGATACAACAACATCTTTGTGTTCCCAACTCACAAAGCCTCTTATTGTCTTTGAAGATATAAGACCCTTTTATTCGCAGTAAAAGAGAGTGATCTTTTACAAATCTTGATATGAAACAAGAAGATAAACGCAGACAACTTCTTCACGCCGCAGCGGGAGGATCATCGAATACAAACTTCTCAAACTCTTCCCTACTTCTCCCATCCGGATTCTTCTTCCACTCCATGAACTTCGTCGACGCCTCTATGAATTTCTCCATATGAAGCCTCTTCCATTCCTACCAAAATCCACACAACATTTAACCAAAAACCCATTAAAGCAACACAAACTAAAAAGACACAACTATTTTCACAAAAATCAAGAAGTAAAGTTTCAAACCTCAAAATCCCATTCTCCATACAAATTAGGATCATCCTTGTTTGCCCATATATAAGTTTCAACTTGCTTCTTCTCAGAAGTATCCTGATCAATTAAAAGCTTCAATCTTTAATCAAAAGATTATAATAATCTATTTGATTAGAGAATGATAAAGAACAAACTTACAGTCAAAACAACTTCAACAGTCTTCCTCACATATTCACTTCCTTCAATCATATCTAAATTCTCTAACTGAGAATCTGTTAATCCACTTAGTATCTACACCAAAAACTTCAGATTCTCAGATCCAAAATCAAAATCGAATTTTTGAATCCCAAATCGAATTCAAGAGATGAAATCAAAACCTTGCCGTTGATAAGTCCATTCTCAGAAGGAGAGATACAAGCATGCAAACGACCTTTGAGTCTATAAACGTGACTGAAACAAAAACACACAGAAATTGAATTGAATCAATTTCGACGAATCTAAAGCATAATTGAAGATAAAGATCGGAGAAGTGAAGAGAGAAAGAGAGTCGTACTAGCCGTGGAGTTGAGCGGAAACCATGACCGGAGAACATTCGAGGATCAGATTAACGACGGCTGGTTCTTGAAAACTGCCGTAGACGAAGACATCGTGCGACGGAGATTGATTGGAGCTAGTCATCGTTTTTGATTTCACTGTGAAATTGAGTTTTGTCTGAAAATGTGAGAGGTAGATTGGTTAGTTTAAAGTGATGTATTTATTCTTGATGTGTAGCCAACGTTGTTGACTTTTTCTTCCTCACTTTAGAATCATTACCCTTTTTTTTTTTTTCTTTTTTTTTTTTCTTTTTTTTTTTTTCTTTTTTTTTTTTTTAATATGTAATTCACTTCAAGAATATATCTTCCGGTGAACATCACTTTGGCATACTTTTTATGAGTTTCCTATCAAAACAGAGATACTTTCGGAGATTTTTATCTTTTTCCACTATTCAACATTCATCAATACAATTTTGCCTTTCCTCTCTCTCTCTTTCTCTCTCTCTTTTTTCTTTTTATTATCATTTTAATTACCTAATATAAGATATTTCGTCTATTCTTTTATATAATAAATTAAGATTTAATTTTCCATACATTTTAAAATCCATTGTTGCTATATTTTAAATAAATAATTATATTACATATTATCCATTTCCGAATGAACATTTGTTTATTATTAAATGGATATTAAAAGGTATTTGAACAAACATACTATACCAATATTTATAACTACTGATCATCCAAACAGGTGAAAGAGGGTGAATGCAAAGCTTGAAGATACAAAAAAGGCAGATGTATTAATTCAAGAGTTCTTATCTGATTTGATTCATTAATAACCATATCATCCATGACATTGTGAACAATTGTTCGCTTCAAAATGTTTGTACCGTCCATGTACTAGTCTACTGGATTCGAACAAATGGATGACTTAAAGAACCACCAGCTTGAAAAAAACACAAATAAAAGTAGGTTTTGGGTAACTGTATGTGCTTGGTGAAGACCATATGTATTGTCGGCTAAGTGAAAATCATCAAGACTTATTGCAGGATTGGGACACCATCATAGCCAGCAGCATCATAATGGATTTTAGGTTCCCAACTCTTTCAGATCATCCACTTAAATTCGGCCATAAACACTTGTCCATTAACACTTGTCCACTTAGATGGTCAAATGATATTACTTAGATCAATTTCACTAAACACACTTAATAACACTATGATAGTCAAACATACTATACCAATATTTATAACTACTGATCATCCAAACATGTGAAAGAGAGAGAATGCAAAGCTTGAAAATACAAAAAACTGTAACAACCTTATCGTGCACAGACCAGTCGACAACATCCATATAGGTGCTCAAGCCAGATGGTGGAGGACTGCTTTTTCTAATAGAATTATGATTACCAAGCGTATCTGTACCCCTATCCAGCACCTTTTCATTTTCAGAAATCTTGAAGACGCAAGGAGAAACTGAAAGAGCAGGAATTTCTTTGTCTTCATTCACATTGCATCCCCTTAAGTAAACCCCTACATACAAGTGATAACTCTTGCTCAGACATTTATTTTTCTGTGGTAACAATGCTCGATTGAGAATGCAAAAAATGCAGATGTATTAATTCAAGAGTTCTGATCTGATTTGATTAATTAATAACCATACCATCCATGACATTATGAACAATTGTTCGATTCAATATTTTCATAACGTACAGATCGAAAAAACACAAACAAAAGTAGGTTTTGGGTAACTGTATATGCTTGGTGAAGACCATATGTATTGTCGGCTAATTGAAAATCATCAAGACTTGTTGCAGGCTTGGGAAACCATCACAACTAGCAGCACCATAATGGATTTAAGGTCCTCTAAACACTTTCAGATCATCCACTTAGATTCGGCCACACTTGTCCATTAACACTTGTCCATAAACACATGTCCACTTAGATGGTCAAATGATATTGCTTAGATCAAATTCACTAAACACATTTAATAAAACCGAGATAGACAACATACTTGCCATAATCCATATATACAATCTTTGATGGACACCTTACTTGTCATGTTCTTCTCTTTTATTTGAATCAGATCATATCAGAACTCTTGAATTAATACAACTGCATTTTTGTTTTTTAAAGTTTTGCATTCACTTTTTCTTACATGTTTGGATAATTAGTAGTTATAAATATTGGTCTAACATGTTTGTACAAGTACTTTTTAATATTCATTTAATAATAAACAAATGTTCAATCAGAAATGAATAATATGTAATATAATTATTTACTTAAAATATAGTAACAATAGATCTTAAAATGTAGGAAAAAATAAATCTTATTTTATTATATAATAAAATAGACAAAATACGTTATATTTAGTAACTAAAATGTTTATAAAAGGAAAATGAGAGAGAGGAGAGAGAGAATGTGTGTGCGTGAGAGTGTGTGAGAGAGATAGTGAGTGAGGGTGTTTAGGTAATAACACACAAAAACAAAATTTTTGAAAGATGAAAGTATCTGAGTGTGAAAGAGAACTAGAGAAAGTATGCCAAAGTGATATTATTCCTATATCTTTCTGTCAACATGCATTATTGATTCCTTATTTTTCTTCAATTAATTATCAAATGTATCATATTGAGGACTAAAGATTATTTTAAAGGGTGAGGAGTGAAGAGTGAAGACTAATCACCTATAATCATATTCCATTCAATGTATATGAATCAATTATCAAGAAAACGCTAGTCACTAAGGAGGTGGTGACCTATTTGCCTAACGTTTATAATGCTTAATCGGAATTTAAACGATTTTAAACATTTAAGGCATTTATAAAGTAAAAAATTATAAACATGATATTGTACAAAAGAATTATATAATTTTTTGTCAAAAGCTATACTAAATCGTAAATAAAATTTAGACAAAATAATATTTGATTTAAATCAAAAACTATATGAAGATAAAACTTAGTTAAAAATTGAAAATATACTAAAACAAAACATATGCTCATTTAGGCGGTCGAGACGGTTTTCTAGGTGTTAAATGATTTTTGTATACTATAAAATATTCCAAATCTCTTAAAATAAATATTATAGTGAGTTATTCTATGATTTATTTAAAATTTGTACTTTCAAATTTTCATAACACCACTTTATGTTTTCTTCTATAAAATATAATATATTTATTTTGGTAGGGTTTATGATAAATCGTTATTACAACCACTCCCAACCAAATTATTGCCCGCAAACGCACCGTTTCCAACTGATTTCATGATTCTCAATTGAAGATTTGAGAAATCAGAAAAAGTGCCAACAAGATATCCATACCAACACAAACAAAATCACATAGAAGAGACTCGGTTTCAAGTTTCAACAACACACAAACACATTATTCGAAAACCACTATTTTACTTACTCTCTTCTGCCAAGATTAGCCAAGCTCATCAAGAATCAATCCCCCGACGATAATAATGGTCCTACAGCCTCTTCCATGCTCTTCCCATTTGGATTCTTGTTCCATTCCAACAACTTTCTAAATGTCTCTACGAATTTCTCCGCGTGAATCACTCTCCATTCCTACACACACACACACAAAATCGCAACATTAAATTCCCCCAAAAGATCGGTAAAAACAAAGTCGAGAAAACCATTCCAATCCTCCCACAACGATTTCAATAGGGTTTAACCACTATAAATGCTTTAAACAACAAAACAACCCAACATTCTTCGATTTCCAGAGATTAGTCTAGGTCACGGATCCAAACATTAACTACCTACAAGGCTACAACCAAATTGGTAAAAAACAAAGTCGACAGAACCATCATTCGAATCCTCCAACAACGATTTCAATATGGTTAGCCACTTTAAATGCTTTCAACAACAAAACAACACAACATTCCTCGATTACCGGAGATTAATCTAGGTCCCGGATCATAAAACAATTTCATCATCCGTTAACAAAAAAAAACCAACCTCGAAATCCCATTCTCCATACATTCTAGGATCATCTTTATTAACCCAAACATAAGTTTCAACTTTCATCTTCTCAGAATTATCCTGCAAATCAGAATCACAATCCAGACAAATCTCTCAAAATTCCCAAAACTGAATCACATTGTAATAAAATAAAACAAAGATCTAATTCAGACACACTTACCATTCTTACAACTTCAACTGTTACTCTCTCATAATCATTACCTTCAATCACATCAAAATTATTTAACTCAGCATCCGACACTCCAGTTATTACCTTCACCAAAAAAAAACACCAATTCGATTTTTTAAACCAATTTTGACAAAATCAAAATTTAGAAACAAAAGAGATACAAAAGTCAAACCTTTCCGTTGACTTTTCCCGATTCAGAAGGAACAATACATGGATATGGAAGTCCTTTGAGTTTATATCTGTGACTGTAATAGAAAACCCATGAAATCTTTTGTTAATTTCCGATTGAAAAACGATCATAGATAGCGAGAGAGAGCGTACTAGCTATGAAGAACGGCGGGGACTGTGACGGCGGTGCGATCAAGGATCACGGCGGCTACGGCAGGCTCTAGAATGCTGCCGTAGACGAAGATGTTGTGAGATGGAGGATTAGAGCTAGTCATCTTCTTCTGATTTGATAAATTGGAAACTAATGAAATGATTTAAAACCAAAAAAAAAATATCTGAATTTTTTGATGACCTGACCACCTGAGCAATTAGATTCCTACTCCCTCCTTATTTTAATAATTGTCGTTTTAAGTTTATTTTTTTTTAAATTAGATGTCGTTTTCAAATTTCTATGCAAAATTTCTTACTTTTTAATGTCATATGACATTAAAAAGTAAGAAATTTTGCATAGAAATTTGAAAACGACATCCAATTCAAAAAAATAAAAATTCTAAAACGATATTTATTAAAATATGGAGGGAGTATTAATTAACTTTAATCAATGAGTCACTACTCTCCACCAACTTCCCCATAATTCGTAGCAGAAGAAAAAAAAACTTTGATATATACTTTTGTGTTTCTAATTTTATACTTCACTTATAAAATTTAGGGATTTTAGTAGACTCTATGATATGATAATGGGAAGCTTGGATCATGGAGCTAAGGAGCAGCTTGAACCTGAGGAGCTTGGAGCTAGGAAGCAGCTTGTAGCTGAGCAAAATGGAGCTAAGGAGCAGCTTGTTGCTGAGGAAAATAATGGAAAAGAAGTTATCTTAACCTCGTTGGTTTTGATACATGATCAGCAAATGGGCATGTGTCTCATTTGTACTCTTTTTCCCTTATCTTTGGTTTTATCCCAATGGGTTTTCCAAAGAAAGGTTTTTAATGAGACAAATGATTCACATCCAAATCACCCATTTGATGATCAAGATCTGGCCAGAATATTCAGAAAATCTTCCAAGGTGTTAGGTATCAAGTCCAGCCCATTTTATGCCTAATACAAGTCCAAGAGAAGCCCAAATCAAGTGCCCAATTTGCTGCCCAAGAGAAGTGACGAAAATCAGTAGTTCAAGAGTCATTTTTATCTTTTCAAATTATGTCTTAATTATGTTTTCATTTTCGAGATCTGTCTTGTGAGTTGTTCCAAGACTTGTTCTCTTTTTCACCTTCTTCTCTATATATTCTCTTGTAATCTCATTGTGAGAACTCATCAAACCTTTTCTTTTTATCAAAACTCTTTTGAATCTGTTTGATCACGAGATTGGTGCGTCATATCCTTTCTCAACTTGTGATTGCTTTGGTGTGTCATATCCTAGCAAGATCAAGCTCGTTAGTCTGGAGGCTATTCCGCAACCTCTGGAAGTAACACTCGATCCGCAAGACATCCCCATTTCGTTCTCAGCCCCCTCACTTCATCACCCATTTGTCTTGTTCACCACGGATCCACCATCACCTATCACAATCCATACAAAGAGACTTCAAGGGACTTGATCTTCTCACCGAGGATCGCATCACTCTACTACATTTGACCAAAGCCTTTTCACTTCTACCACATTTGATAATCATTTTTCAATCATAACCCATTTATGTGGTATTGTAGTATAAAAAAGACGGTTTTTCCCTCAGCTGACGTGGCAGATAAAATGCAACATTTAGGGACAAGTATTTGGGGGACAATAAACCTATTCGGGGACAATAATCAAACGAAATGTAAACATCAAACAAAATGAAAAGACCGTAATTAGAATTTAGGAGAACTAGAATCGAAGAACAATGAATTAAAATCGAGAGACAAAAACCAGCTAACATACAAAAATAAGATGAAATTGTGGAAGGCTCAAACTTCGGGGACATATAAACTTTCTTTTGTATGCTCAAACAATGAATTTTGTCCCCGAAGTTTGAGCACAAAAAAAGAAGGGCAAAATGGTCATTACTCATGATAATTGTGGTATGAGTGATAAATGGACCTGCAATGTGGTAGAAGGAAAAATAATTGGGCCAAATGTGGTACTAGGGCTAATTATCTCTAAATTAAATTAAACAATGTTAAATTAAATCAATAAATAATTCTAATTTGATACTTCCTCCGTTTCATATTAAGTGTCGTTTTATATTTAAAATTTTGTTATAAAATAAGTTCGTTTTGTATTTTCAATGTAGATGTTTGTGAAAATTTCCCGTTTTATCTCTACATTATTGATGTGCTAACCAATGAAAAAAATTGTATAATATATTAATAAGGGGTAAAATAGAAAATTTAATGGTTTTCTTAATAAGTGTGAGAAAATCTTAAACGACACTTATAGTGAAACAGAGGAAGTATTATACTATATATAATTATATAATAAAAATTAAATTCAAATTTAAGTTGATGTTCAAATATGTAATTATGTATTTTTTTTTTTGCTTTAAATCAGATCTTTAATATGCCAAAAACCAATGAATTAAATTATTATTTTAGTAATATTCTAATAAAAACTAATGAATGAAACTATTACTTCAGTAATATGCTAAAACTATCAATGTGGGGTGGGGTTAGTGGCATAACTCAGATAAGTCGAAAACATAGAACATAGATAGCTAAGAGAACACAAGTGAAGATGCCATCGGAGCTGACGCAAGTAATCAACATCAAAAGCTCTGGTGGTAACACAACTCAAGGATGAAGTTACAAAGTTGCTTCCTAAACAAAATTTTGAACAATCAAAGTTTCATAACGAATGGTCCCAACAAGAAGTTGTAGTATTCAATCTTTGACTTGTCTCCAAAGATTTGAACCTTTTTTTCTCTTCTCGAAGATTAACAAAAGAGGAAGCAAATTCAAAGATGGAGGATGTGACATGCTTTAAGATAAAAAAAAGTGATAATTTTATTATTTGAATTAAATGTTAAGTGATAAAGAAAGTGACCAATAAGATTAGAACATGTGGTATAGACAGTTTTTATCATGTACATTTGCAAATATTTTTTAATAACTCATTTTTTGGGACGCAAATTAAACTAGAAACATTTTTTACCCTCTTTCTTCCTTTTTAAAATTTTTTAAATATTTTAATGGTGAGAACTCATCTAAGAACTTTGGTAATATGAAGTCTCGTTTAATTCCTTAGTGACAGATTGGATTAACTAACTTATTGTCCATTTCTCGAGTGAATCTGGTTGATTTCTCCTTTATCGACTATGTACTCCTCCCAAAATTTCCACTTGGTTCAAGTGGTGTTGTTGCAAGGAGTTTGATGTCGAAGGTTTTAAACACTTCGATGCTCGTTCTATCTTCAGGCTCCGCTATTCGGTGCTTGGTCACTTTTGCGGCTACAACCAAATTTCCGATTATTAAATCTGTACTTGTTGCGATTTCAATCCCAGGTGTAAGATCACTAATTGTGTTCTATAATTCTTAAGGCTTCGATTCACTTTTTAGCAATTTATGCGTCGAGATTCGAGGACCCCTCCTTGTCTTTAGTGGATTAATTGTTGTGTTTGCTCCTATCTTTATCATGTATGTTTTCCGTCTACCTCTGGTAGTAGCAGTCTTTTTATTACTTTTAATGTGGTTTTTTTTCAACACAACTTTGGATCAAACAAATTAGTGGACTCGCTAATTTGGTTTTGAGTTGGAATGGTCCATGAAATTTAGCGGAATTTGCGATGAAGCAAGAGTTTTAATTGAAACAAGTTGCAATGGTATCAGATATATGCTGCAAGCAAGCATGCCCAAAGGTGTTCAAGAGGTCGTTGGTGTCAATATTGATGACAACAAACAACAAATTGACAGTGAAAAATTGCTTTCTTAACAGCTCAATCATACTATTTGTTAGATATATATAGTTCGCAACAATTTCATGAGGCGATTTTCTATAGTTGAACAAGGATGGTTCATTCGTACGACGAATCATTCAACTCTTTGAGATGCGAGAATATAAAAGCCTATAGGAAAAATAAACAAAATTAATGTGTGATTCTAATGATGAATTAAGTTATGAAAGTTGTACATGCGGTAGGGGTTACAGAGGCAGCCCATACCTTCCATTCAGATGCAAAGATTAGTTTTTAATTGTGTTAATTTATAATTCATATTTTTATTTGTTTTCTGATCTACTCGATCATTATTTACTTTAGATCTTCAATCGAAGGAGCTCTATGGGATTCTCTACGATTTCCTAGTTTTATCTTTAGATTTCAAAGAAGTTTGTTTTTACTTTTTAAAAGAAAAAAGAATTGTGGAGCCAATGAACTTAAAAAATCTGCTCTCCTTTCGACTTCCCTTGTACCAACTTTTAGTTATTGAAATCCAATCTCTTTAGACAAAAAAAAGTCATTATTATTTATAAAAAAAAATTAAAATAGCGATACTATGGCAACGACACCAGATCTTATGATAAGGATCAGATTCATCCGGTTTAACAATAGATCCATCAAGAAAACCAAGCTTGTTAGAGTGAGAGTAAGATATTTCGCTCTGATACCATGTTACCAAATGAATCTTATTCTCATTAATTTGCAAAACTATACAATTGAGGGTTTATATACAGCTCAAAACCAAGGCCTAAACCATAGCCTTAACCAATAATTAGAGACTCCTATACAATTAGAGACTCTCTATACAGACTCATACTCTATACAGACTCATATAACATAATAGAGGTTGTAAGTAGTGCTGAAATTAAAAAAAAAAAAGCACTTATGAATTACATTTTCAATAATCTTTTCAAAATCAAGCACTATATGGTTTTGGCGACAAGGAAATAGGTGTGCTTTGTTCAATTGCAAAAAAAAATCAAATATATACTATGCGTCAATTTAAAAATATTAGAGATTCCGATGTGTAAGGATTTCTGGCCTCAAAGGTGTCGACTTTCCTTGAGAGAAATCCAAACAAACCAAGAACAGAGAAGCGGAACCAAGTTTGTGTGTCAGAAACAGAAGAAAGAACAGAGCTTTGCTTTGTAGTGTTTAAGGACTTCAAAATCAGAAAGAAAAACAGAGCACACACGAGAACTTTGGTAACCCAGTTCACTCCCAAAGGGTAGCTACGTCTGGGCCGAGTATTGTACTCGGAATCCACTAGAATCAAACACACATAGAGATTACAACAGAAACAATAAGTGACCCGCACCAATGCCCTTCACCAGCACTTGATGCTCACTCTATATGTTTCTATACCCTAGAGAAAACTATGAATTAGTTTAAGCTAATACAAGTTTTCTCTCTTACTCTCTGTATCACCAACACAGCACACTCCTATACTCTCT